ATGGATCACATGAATCGTGTCTACATGGACTTTTTTTTTTTTGTAACTCCTCGAATTCTCCTTATTTACAACATAATGAATCGGTTAATCCAGTGGTTGATTTTCTGTATAATTGATTCGTTGATAATAATTAATTGGAAGGTTACAAATAATAAAAATAGTGTTTAGATGAGGGGTAAAATGTCATTCAATTTTTAAAGGGCTTTTATGTAATTCAACTTTACACTTAAGGTCTTCCCACTTATAATATAGTATGATATAGATTTGTGTAATTACACGAATATTTAAGTTCTAACTAGACATGTTAAAGGACCTTCTTACCAATTCATTAGGTGTATACAGGGGTGTTCATAAAAACCTGAAAAGTGGAACCAATCCGATCAAAAAAACTGATACTTTTTTGTTTTGGTTAAGTTTGATTTTGGTTTTGAATTTAAAAATGATCAAATTTGGTTTGATTTTAGTTTTAATAAAAAAAAACCGAAAAAACCGAACCAAAGCGACTATAAAAATAGCTATTTTAAATTTATTATTACACCTATATATACGAATATTTTTATATAAAGTTTCCAAAATTTTATGGTGCATGTTAATCATTTTGCACTTTTAGTCTAGTGCTTTGTTATTATAATAATATAGTTCTTTACCTTTACATTCTACTTTGATTGATATTTTTCTTTTGCTAACTACAAAAATCTATTTCATGTTAAAAGTAATCCATTTTAATTTTAATTGAGTCCTTAAATTATTCATCAATAAATAATTCAATTATCATCAATATATCTTGGTAAATGATAGATTTCTCAAAGAACATTTGGTTTGATAGTGTTATGTTGAAAATGTAGTCGCCAGAATATGTATTTGGTAGCGTATGTCTCATATTTAAGAAAAAACCGATAAATAACTGAAAAAATAGAAAAATCGACAAAAACCGAATCGATAAAAACCCGACTTAATTGGTTTGGTTTGGTTCCAATATTTGAAAACCGACTTATTTAGTTTCATTTCTTTTTAGGAAAAAATCAATCCAAACCGAACCATGAATATCCCTAGGTGTATACTACAAGAAAAATTGGACTTCACTAAAAGAAATTGGATCGTGGGAAAATGCTCAAATTTGTCGATATGTTATCTAAAATTGCTCAATATACTTTAGACTTTTAACTGGTTCATCCACATCGTTACTGTTAGCAAATTGTATCTCCAGCTTAAATTGAGTGGACTCTATGTGTCCAAATGCTTTGAAAAGCAAAGTTGCTAAAGTTTGAGTAATACGAGGATAAATTTGACCTATTTTTCTTGAAATTTTAATGGCGAGCTTTATGTTAAAACTCAAACAAGGATTTTCTTTGTTGAGGAACAAGTGTAACAAGAGGATTAGTGCTTTCGAGTGGCGATCGAGGGCAATGTTGTTTTCCCCATCAAATAAGGTACCACAAGTGACTCGTGAAGAACTTTAATCTACAGTGCTTTAATTTCCAATTCACCTACATTAGCTGATCCAATCCAAGAAAAAAGGAAAAGGGAAGAAGGCTTGTGCTACAACTATGAGCTGCAGGCCTAGAAACTACGACTATGACATAAACAGATATCCCACTAAAAAATACTCATAGTTTACCCTTAAAACGGATAACAATTAAATTTATACGCGGTTTTAAGGATATGTGAATTGAGTCAACACAAATAATCAAGAATGTTAGATAAACGAGTTAAATATAGAATGAATAACCAAATCAATTGTGATGTTACGGCCGGACTCGGATTTGTGTTGAATAGTAATTTTGCCCTCAACCAGACCCTTGGTTCGAAGCCAAATGTATATGAAGAACAACAATAAAATAAGAACTTTTCAATAGCTAGAAAGCAGAGAAATAAGTTTGTATTGCCTTGGTATGCGTGTTACAATGTGTCATATTATAGTAGGGGAGTTTCATCCCTAGATACAATTCTAAAAAAGGTAAAAATCCTCCTTTCTCGTTGATTACTGATCCGTTACTGACATATGGCGAGATCTGCGCTGTGATATCCGGTTGGGTGTGGATATCACGGTCCTCTATTAGTCGTGTGCCGCCGTTTGCCATATTTTCCGAAGTCTCGAAATTCATTCTAGGTTCGGAGAGTGTTGTCTCATCAGGTCCGATGGTGAGCTCGATACAAAGAGTTCCCAGCTTCGATTTCGATATCATATATTCATACTCTTACCCCCATTTGATCTATTAGGAAATCGGGTGTGCGTTAACCCCATATACACGCATAAAAGAAATTCAACAAACTTTGATGGTTGACTTTTGATGTTAATTACTTGAAAAGCTCAATCCCAAAAGTGAAAAGAAGAAAATGAAAGCAACATCAAAGTGGGTTTTTATTTTTAGTTGAACAGGAATATGGATGTCAGAATAATTTGTCGTCTTGTATGCTGGCAATTGGCATCGTGCTCTTGTTCTTTATAATTGGATTTTAAGCTATATATAGTGAAAGAGAAAGTTCTTACTTTGTAATCTAGTTTAACTATGGAAACAGTATTTTGCGTAAATGCAAGGTAATATATAAGATTCCTGATCCAGCCCGCACATAACAGGAGTTTAGTGAAATACGCAAAGGCAGGATTACCGCCAAGGGGTTCCAAAAAAGGAAAAGATTGTAGCTAGTGGAATAGAACCAATGACCTTTCAAAGGTTTTGAACCCCCTTACTACTAAGATATGCTTTTGGATTGTGTCAAGAGGATTCAAAACATAATATATAGAGGTAAAAAATAGATTTTGCCTTACATATACAGTGTAATTTTTCGACAAAAGAGGTTCGGATGAACACATTTCCACCCCTAAATCCGCCCCTGGCTGTCAGTGATAGAAGACTTTTCATGAACTTGAAGCAGGCTCAATATATTAGAGTCATCAGAAAAAAGATGATTTATTTAATTAAGTTGATTATAGTCATCAGAGCCAGTTGTTAAATAAGTTCCCACCCATCCATCTCGGTCATCAATAGAAAATGTGGACTACACTGACAAACTTTAATTTTATTTGCTCAAATTTTTTAGTGCAGGCAACAGGCAAGGCAGCTTATAAGGAAACTCATTCGAAGACTAGATAAAAAGTATTTAATGTAGGATAGAGGCCGGAGTAATCCTTTCTTTATTTTAAGTAATAATTCTATGAAGATAACCACATCATTGATTAAAAAACAAAAAAAAAGTCCAAGGTTTGTAGCACAAGCACAAACTCAGACTAGAGAGAATTAAAATCTGAAGTATGTAATGTGGATTAGGCCAGTTGTTGGACCAGTTCTTATGATCACGTTACGAAGAGCAAAAAATTGCCTCCCAGATGACTCCTACACATAAAAGTACCACGAATTAACATAAATTATTAGATTACACATCCGAAATTTTACGAAACGTGAGTAAAATGCGAAGCAATATGCGTATAAATATACATACTTTAAGCTGAATATCAATAATACCAGTAACAATTTTTATTACTTGTAACACAATGATAACACTAGTAGTTTATTATACTAATCAATGGTTGAATCTTGTTAACAAAATCTTCATCTACTTGGAATGCCTTGGTATGAAAAACTTCACTTGCTCTGGTAGGATTTGCTCTACATTTTCAAGGCTTATCAAACCTGGATTCTGGCTGCTCAATGCAAGAAGTGCAACAGCATTTCCATATCCCACATTTCTCTGAAAGTGAACAAGTCCCACTGGAAAAACAAACACATCCCCCATATGTATTACTCTTGAGATTAATCGATTCTCGGGGTTGGAGGTGACAAATCCAACATGTAATGAACCTTCAACGACTACCAGAATTTCAGTGGCTCTAGGATGAATGTGTGGAGGGTTAACTCCACCAGGTATATAGTCGATTCGAGCCATTGAGATGCCAAGAGTATTCAGTCCAGGAATTTGAGCTACGTTGACAGAAGTAACCCTAGTACCAGATTGAGTGGTTTTGTTACCAGGTAGATTCAAACCACCGTAATAGAAATCATTGGCTTCTACTAGCACAGGATTCTTGCATGTCAGACCATTTAACCTAACTGATAATTATGCAGGGAGAGAAATAATCAGAGACGAATCTAGGACGAGTTTTGTTTGTTCAAAAAACACATTATTTTTGGCTCGAAATTATGTGTTTATATACAAAAACAAAAACAAAAAAGTTTAACATGTATACATATAATTATTTCAGATCACTCCCTATTGACTTTAGAATATATATTCACCACAATACCTTTATAAGTTACACTAGAGTAAAAGCATGCATCTTTTTAAAAAGTTTCTTTTGTGCGCTGATAATGTAATTTATTTACCGGTTAATATACACTGTCAATATATATAAGTAAATTAAATCCCTTCGTAAACCTTCAAATGTAGAGCTACATGTGTTGAAACTTCAGTTCGTACCTGCGCTAGTAGTATCAGCGACACAAAAGTCTTGCAAAGGATTAATCTCTAATGCCAAGCCAGAACAGAATAAGGTGAGAATCAAGCTCAGAATGATGATGCGTTTAGCCATTTTTTAAAAAATGTTGCAAAAAATACAAGTTTACAAGAATAATAAGAGGAAGGAATTTAGAAACAAAGAAAGGTTTTGAATGATGAGATGTGGTTTATTCAGAGGTTAATCTTTAAATAGAAGAGTTATAAGATCATTCTTCTTGAATTTGCTTGATTAGTTAGATAAAAGCTTTTCTGGTAATTTATGAAGCTCCCTTTTAGTACACATTATTTCTTGATTAGTTTAGGTGACAAGCCCCCTTTGGCTGCACCAGTGGCCAACTAAGTAACAACTAATTATAGATTATAAGAAAGAGTAAGAACAATGCTGAAAAATAAATAGAATCAAAGCAAAGGCTTGATCTTACAATAGTACAATTGCTAGGAAAAAACTAAAATTACAATCCACACTCAATCAAACAAACAATTGAACAAACAGAATGAACACAAATGACAAATAACAAATCTGAAGCTTCCATATTCATGCTGCTCTAGAACTTTGATTGGATCTGAGCAACAACGGCGTTATCAACTTGAAAAGCCTTAGCAAGAACATCAGTTGCTATAGCTGGATCCGATCCGAAGACTGCATTAGCAATGGTTATAACACCAGGATTCTGGCTACTCAATGCTGCAATTGCAACAGCATTTCCATTTCCAACGTTGCGTTGGTAGTGAACAAGTCCAATAGGAAATACAAACACATCGCCTTTTTTAAGTACCTTAGTAATAAGGCGATTTTCGGGGCTTGAGGTTACAAAACCAACTTGAAGAGAACCTTCAAGGACAGTGAGTATCTCAGTAGCTCTAGGGTGAGTGTGAGGAGGGTTGATTCCCCATGGTGCATAGTCGACGCGAACCAATGAAATACCAAGAGTGTTCAGTCCTGGTACTTGCGCTACATTGACAGGAGTGACTTTAGAGCCAGCAGGATTTGTTGTGTTGCCAGCCAAATGCAGCCCACTGAAGTAAAAATCATTAGCTTCTACAAGTGAAGAATTCTTGCAAACCATGCCATTTACCTTCACTGCAATTATGAAAGTACGATCAGCAAAAAGTTTTTGTTTTTTGTAATGACGAAGTAAAGAATTTCCATACTATAACTTTATCAAGTTAAACCTACAAGTCATAACTTAAGTCACTAAAATAATAGTTGTCAAGTGGGTTCAAACAGAGGCGGATCCAGGATTTGAGCTTTATGCGTTCCTACCGTAATTTCAAATTAATATGCAATAATAATTGGGTTCACAATCAGATATTTACCAATATTTGGTGAATTTCTTAATATAAATACAGGGTCTACGCAAGAGTTACTGGGTTCCCGAGAAGGTCCGCCCCTGGGTTCAAATAAAATAATTTATACAAAGCTTTAATAGTAATTTATACATGTACACAATATTATTTTTTGATGAAGCGGGTTCAGTTGAACCAGCTTGCCACCACGTGCGTCCGCCACTGCCTACAACAACAGGTAACTTTCTACATCAAGTCTGATATATTAACTGAAAAATAGAGTAATACACATGCTATATGTATGGTGAAATCATATTGATAGTGTTAAGAAAAATTTATATATTGTAAGTATATATAACTTAACCTCTTATAAAAACAGGATTCCTGCTCGTCATTCATTAATGTATACTACTAAACATATAGTAGTATATATATTACAAATCTTGAATACCTGAGCTAGCAGAATCTGCGACGCAGAAATCTTGCAATGGACTCGGCTCGAAACCAGTGATAAGGCAGCAGAAACTCAGAGTTAACAAGCTGAGAAAAGAGAATAATTTGGCCATTTCAAACTCAAAAACTTAAGAATAAAACGAAATAGCTTGAAATAGGAGTAGAATTTTTTTATAATTAAGTGTATTTGATGGGATGAATCAACTGTGCTTCTGGTGTCACCTTTTATATAAGGACTTGATGCATATGAATAATCCATTATTTGGCGAGTAGGCCGTAGCCATTAATCATTTTTGAATAACTAATTAAATGCCGTCCTAGCACATTAATTCTTTTTTTTTCTTTTCTATAATCTGGTTTTTGAAGTTTTGTAATGATATTAATATTCGCAAAAAAAGTGGACAGGGAGAAGATGGTATATAGTTTGATAAATGGATACAGATCATGGTTGTTAGATATTTTACCTTTATAAATATTATTGCCGACTGGAATGGTCAGAGGTTTTAGGATTGCTGGTAAAGAATTTGACTGTGAGTTTTATGCTCAAAACATAGGGATATAAATAAATCTATGATTTTAATTTTTCATTTTTACCATGCGATTGGAATATCTTCTGATGTTTTAATCTAACATTAATGGCTAGGAAAAATGAGAGAAAAAACCAAAATCGCCCCTTAATTTTAGAGCATCACTAAAATTGATCCCTACTTCCCTATAAAATAAGTATCTAAGGTGAAGCATAATAGTCCTTTTAAGGGAATGTTTGGTCCATGGATAAAAATAATAATTTCGGAATAAAGTTTGGGATTAACTTTTGTTGGGTTTTTTATGTATTTAATTAATATATTAAATACTTAAAGAGGGTGAATGGGAAATGGAGGGAAATGAAATTTTTGAGTGAAATTTTAAGTTCCCCCTTGGTAAATGGATATTGTCCCATATTGGAAGAGGAAGGGGTTTTTTATGGGTATATAAGCAATTGTTCTTCTTCTAGATCTTAAAGAGTTGAGAAGAAGGCAAGTCTCGCGCCGTCGTCGTTCGGCTTGGCTTCGGCTTGATTTGGATTGGGATTTGGTCAAATGATTGATTGATTAACTTTTTGGACCAAATTTATTTGTTAATAGTAAAATATTAACAGAAATTTTATTAAATATTTGTTTTAATAACAGAATATTATTAAATATTAATATTAAATCCAACTATTATGTAATGGCATTTAGGGTGTGGCCGTTTGTAAAACATTTATGTAATAGCATTTATGTTGTGGCCGTTTTGCAGAAACAACCATTCTGAAGAGTTGCACCTCTTCAGATTTCAGCCCAACTTTGGCTATAAATACAACATTATTCTGCTCAGAATTTCACTACGATTTTCTGAATTTCTCCTCCTTCTTCTGCATACTTTTAGCATCAAACAAAGCAATAGTAAGTGTAATTTGCTACCGAACTTTGTGTTCACTGAAACACTGGGGTTTGAAGTACCACTACATCAGTGTGTAATTCATTCTATCCTGGGAGGAAATAATCCATAACCTTGGGTACTAGGAGGGGATTAAATTCCTTAAGGAAACACTGTGAATTCAATGGGCTCGAATTGAGTTTTTGTTATTTCGTTGTTCACCTCTGTTTATGTTCATTTATATTTCCAGAATTATTTTACAAATACAGTTTACTAACAAGCTTAAGGAATTTAACTATTTTCTGTATTTGTACTCGCTGTTTCTGGAGAGTAAAACCTTTGTGGTTTTGTACTCTATTGGAGATTAAAATCTATGTGATTTTAACTTTTGTCATTCTTTTACAGAATGACTAACGATAACGGAAACCAAGCTGTTCCGATGGTGACTGCCAATGCCTCAACGAGCTGAACAACACCGGCAGCATTGGCACCGGCGGAGAAACCCGAAAAAATTTTCGGGATTAATTTAAGGCTCTGGCAGCAAAAGATGTTCTTCTATTTGACTACTCTAAGTATCCAGAAGTTCATCAAGGAAGATGTTCTTGTACTGTCCGATGAAACTCCAGAAACTGAACGCTTTCTCATGATTGAGACGTAGAAGCATTCAGATTTTTTGTGCAAGAATTATATTCTAAGCGGACTGGAGGATGCTTTGTATAACATCTACAGTGGCGTGGAAACGTCAAAAGAACTGTAGATTACGCTTCAAAAGAAATACAAACCGAAGATGCCAGGTTGAAAAAGTTTGTTGCTGCAAAGTTTTTGGACTACAAAATGGTAGATAGCAAGTCTATTATTACCCAAGTCCAGGAATTGCAAGTGATTATTCACGATCTCCTTGCTGAAGGTATAAATCAAATTAATATTGATGTTGAAAGTAGTAATCTTAGTATTTTTACTAACAGAAATTTCATTGAAGGTCTTGTCATCAATGAAGCATTCCAAGTAGCAGCGATGATTGAGAAGTTGCCTCCTTTGTGGAAGGACTTCAAAAACTACTTGAAACACAAACACAAGGAGATTTCCCTTGAAGATCTCATTGTTCGGTTGAGAATCGAAGAGGACAACAAAGCTGCTGAAAAGAGAGGCCGTGGAAACTCAACAATAATGGGAGCAAATATTGTTGAAGAGAACAAAAAGAGGAAGAAGGCTTCTGCACCGAAATACAACCCAAGCAAGAAGCGGTTCAGTGGAAACTGCTATAACTGTGGAAAAACCGGACACAAATCTACGGAGTATCGTGCTCCGAAAAAAGACAAGAAGAAGGGTCAAGCAAACATGGTTGAAAAGCATGATGATGTTGATGACTTATGTGCCATGCTTTCCGAATGCAACTTGGTGGGCAGTCCTAAAGAGTGGTGGATTGATTCTGGAGCCACTCGCGATGTTTGTACTGTTAAAGAAGCTTTTGCTACTTATGCTCCTGTTGGACCCGATGAGACAATTTCTATGGGGAATGCTGCAAAGGCCAAGATTGAAGGATGTGGGAAGATATTTCTCAAAATGACTTCCGGCAAAGTGGTGACTTTGAACAACGTCCTTCATGTTCCCGAGATTAGGAAGAATTTAGTCTCTGGACTTCTTGTTAAGAATGGTTTAAATGTGTTTTTGTTTCCGATAAGTTTGTAATAAGTAAGAATGAAATGTTTGTAGGAAAAGGTTACCTCACCGAAGGCCTTTTCAAGCTGAATGTAATGGTTGTTGAAAATAATAATAAAATTTCAGCTTCGTCTTACTTACTTGAGTCAAATGAATTATG